CATACTGAATCAACTGGCAGGCACCATCCCATTTCCCACTTCTGTGCATTCACACCACCAGTTCACTGCCTTGAAACACCTTTCCCTTCTCAACCTGCCTAACCAACTTGTCCTTCAGATCAACCTCAAATGTTACATCTTCAAGGAGGCCTTTCCCAGACCTCCACTCTGGTTTAGATGCCCTTCTTTTGTACTCTTATATTGCTTCATGTATACCTCTACAATAGCACTTGACTCGTTCCATAAATACGTATTAAGCACCTACAGTATGCCAGGCGATGTGCTAAATCTGGGGATATAATTTGAAAGATACTATCTCTGACCTCACAGAGGTCCTACTGTATTGGCGGAGAAAGGAGCAAGTAAATAAAAAGGCAGTTACAATACATTGTAAGAAGTGCTATGATCAGAGAAGCATAAGGCTCTGTGGGAGTTCAGAGGAGGGGATATAACCCATTTGAAGGATGGGAGATGGAAGGCTGGAGGAGAACGTTTCCCGGAGAAACTGATGAAGGCCACCAAGCGAAGAGAGGGGCTGTAATGTTCTAGGCCGAGAAAATAACATTTGTGATGTCTCCCAGGGCATGACTTGTCACAGATGTCAACTCTAGGATTTGATTTTATCCTATTTGCAAGCTAAAAGTTTAGGTGCTGGCAAAAGTCTGGGGTAGAAACAAAAGTCTTTATCATAGCACAGCAAGTATCATGAGCATCAAGCTTGCATGGTTCCCCTTTTCTTCAAGTCCCATGGTGGCAATGCCATGGGCCAATAGATGCTGAACATGCAGTGGATTTGCATCTCAACTAAGAGCCCTGGGCATGGGGAATCTACCATTTTTACAGTATGTTTTTACAGTCAGTAAGCAAACAACGTTAGATAGTAGAGATAATGTTTTCCTCCAGACCAAAAGGCAGGCTTGCTTATAACCTTTCAAGAAAGATAGCATTGCCCTATACAGCACAGGCAGGCATACTGCCCATTGTAAAAGATTCTGGTACCAAAAGTCAGCATTCTTCTCCCATAATGCAACCCATTGGGTGTGTAGGTGCCATCTAGCCCTCTCTGTATTGCTCCATCAGAATTGGGATTCAGGGAACCAGCACAAAAATTCTAATAATCTGGTTAATGCTGTTGCTGTAATAAATTCCACTTCATCTCTGACCCAAGAGTCTTGTCTTTTTACCAACACCCATAAAACTGTGTCAGGCTAACTTGTTAGCTTTCAAGTAGGGTGAAATATCAGACCCTTCAAAGTTCTTCATAGGGATCTGTGAATTTATAGTTTCAGAGGGGGAGCTTCTCTAGGCTCTGACAGAACTTGGGTGTGGCCATACAGCTGATGGCTGAAGCTGGATATCACTAAAGATGAGAAATCCCAGAAACTGAGAGTCCTGGATGTTGACTGGATTGCTCACATGAACTTAGGGTCCCCAGGATGATGGCAGGATTTGGAATGGAATCCTAAGACTTCAGTAATGAGAGGAGGTGGCCAGAAGATTTTTTTTTTAATAATTTTTTATTGAGGCATGGCATATAATCAAGTGTGTAAATTTTACTAGTCTTAAATGTATTGCTTAATTCTTTTTTCTTTTTTTGCTTTTGGTGGCTGGCCATTATGGGGAACAAACCAGAGATTATAAAAAGGGCTGAAGAGATACTTGAAGATAAAGAGCAGAGTCTCAACAGAGGAGAAATGAGTGCTCCAGGTGAGCTGTGGACAAGTACTGCAGAAAAATCATTAGGTCATGAAGAGTAAATAGTCCACCTCCAGAACCCAAGGGATCTGGGGCTGGGATATGCAGATGTTCTCTACTTGCCCCTCCAGATCACTCTCGTATGCTGTTCCAGGCCCCTTGAAGCTGACTGTTATGGATCACATCAGTGTACTGTCTCACTATCTTGCTCCCAACTGAGCTCAGCCAATTACAAGCATGAACATGAAGTTGGCGCATAGGAGGAGAATGAGTGTAGAGTACTTATTTCTCCTATTTTCTTCCTCCTTGAGGCACATGGATTCGCTTCTGTGTTCTGTTATTAAACTCTCCTCATTGCTCAGTTTGAGTGAGTGAGAGTGCTGTTTCCAGCCAGAACCTGAACTGACACAGGAAAAATAAACAGCCTCCGTTCAGAGATTGCAGGAGAAGCAGTGTGCTCACAGGACAGCCAGGGGTCAGTCAGTTGAGACAATGAGTGGAAGGATATATGGGGGTATGCTGACCATGATCTGGACAAAAGAGTATTTCTTATTATTATTGTCCATTTATTGAGCACTTAGTATGTACCAGGTACTGTGCTAGGTATTTTGTGTGTATTATCATATTCAATTTAATCTTAATATCAAATGAGTTAGCATTATTATCCCCACTTTGCAGATGAGAAAACTGAGGTTTATTAATATTAGCACACTTTCTAACTCCTTGTTCATGGGCAAGATCCTGTCACTCCTATAAATTCAGATAATTATATGTGCCTTGTCACTTGGATGATTAAATGACTTGTATATGTAGGTACCTCGTTCACTCACTAGCATATAGTTGGCATTCAACACATGATAGCTTATCTTCATGTCATGCCATTATGAGGTAATAATTGGAAACTGAGAGGGAAGCCCATCCATAGGGGAAGGGCTCCTCTCACCATCGTCATTTTATTTTAGGTCCATAAATAAAGGTGCGAAGTGCTTCTGGATGTCATATGGTAGAAGTAGTTCCCCACCAACTTATGCAGAGCATTTACCACATGCCAGGCTCTGTGCTGAGCATTGTCACTCACAGCAATCCTAAGGGAAAGCTCCATTTGACATAGGAGGAAACTGAAGCACACAAGAGTTGAGTTATTAAGAGCAAAACCAGGATTTTTTTTTTTTTTTTTTGTCTTTTTCGTAACCGGTAAGGGGATCGCAACCCTTGGCTTGGTGTTGCCCGCACCACGCTCAGCCAGTGAGTGCACCAGCCATTCCTATATAGGATCTGACCCCACGGCGGGAGAGTCGCAGCGCTCCCAGCGCCGCACTGTCCCTGGCCCAAAACCAGGATTTTAACCAAGGTCAAAGCCCATGTGAGGAAAGCTTCCTGTAGGAGTTGGCCTTTGAGGGGAGTAACATACCAAGGACCAAAGACAAGAGGGTGGCTGGGGGTGGCGGGGGAGGGTGTTAGAAGGTGCTGCAACCTCCAGACTGGGGCTCTAACAGGGAGAGGAGTGACAGAAGGTTAAGAAAGTGAGGAGGGAGCCGTTGAATTAAGGCCCAGCTTTGTTTTCTCTACCCCAGAGCCTGCCTCAGCTGGCAGCCCAGGGTGTGGTGGGGGATCTCCCAGACATGAGACCCCCAGGCTTTCTACTGCTTTCTGGGACTCCACTTGCCCAGTGGGTCCCAGGCTAGACTTCCTGGCCCTGGGTATGGTTTCACAAAGAAAATAGGGTGTCTGTGGGAAAGCTTCAAGATTTCAAAAAGCCTAGAGGAAGAATGGTCAGAGGCGAATTAATGCATTACATTTCCTTATTTCTGGCTGGAATCCTCCCATCCCAGTGTAGTAGTAATGATTGATATCCTACTAATTGGAAGCATTGGTTCATTCCCATGTGGCTTCGTAAAAAAAAAACAAAGGATAAAGGTAAACCATTCCTTTATTTATTTATATTTTTTTATAAAGATGACTGGTAAGGGGATCTTAACCCTTGGCTTGATGTTGTCAGCACCACGCTCGCCCAAGTGAGCTAACCGGCCATCCCTATATAGGGATCCGAACCCGTGGCCTTGGTGTTATCAGCACCGCACTCTCCCGAGTGAGCCACAGGTCAGCCCTAAACCATTTTTTCTTTAAAAGTCAGGTTTATTGAGAGATGATTTATGTAAAATAACATTCATCCTTTTAAGTGTGTAGCTGTATCAGTTTTGACAAACACAGATAGCCATGTAACCGTCACCACAATCAAGATACGGAACATTTTCATTACCCCAGAAAGCTCCCTTATGTCCTTTTATATTCCTACTTCCAGACCCTGGCAATGACTTATGTCCCTATAGTTTTGTCTTTTAAAGAATATCATAGAAAGGGAATCATATAGCATACATTTGTGTGAACGTATATTTTCATTTCTTTTGGGTAAAATACCTAGGAGTGGGAATGGGTTGTATGGTGTCATGTTTAATTTTATGAGAAATTGCCGAACTGTTTTCCAATGTAGTTGTACCATTTAAATTCCCACGAACAGTTTATGAGAGTTCCAGTTGCTCCATATATTTTTCAGTACTTGGGACTGTCAGAGTTTTGTTTTTAGCAATTCTGATAAGTGTGTAGTGGTATCACATTTTGATTTGAATTTGAATTTCATTAATGCAAGTCATTCTTTTTTAATAAGTAAGAATTGTCTGAAGACACAATGTTTCAAAATTTGGGGACCCTTGTGGGGAATTTAAAGGGGGTTCTTGGTAGAGAGTTTTCTGGAAACAGTAACATTGGCGCTGGCTTTGCCCGATGGAGACAGGGGGCTATCTATCTGTGCTAGGGCTGCAGGGACTTGCACTTCTTTCCTCTGGTCAGGAGAGGGCAGGGGAGGGCAGAAAATAAGCTGCCTTTTTTTTTTTTTTTTTTTTGGCTTATCAGTCCTCAGCATCCATAGTATTTGCATGCATTATTGTATTTATAGTTTTGTTTGATAGCCTTTTCCTCTGAATGTACTTAGGTGCTACCTTATGAGACTCAATTTCACCAAATTAACCTTGTGAACTGATTTAATACCAAACTCCTAACCTTGTAAAATCTTCCCTTGCCAAAGCATAACTAATCTAAGAACTGAACTACCCAAACTGAACTATCTTTGTAGAATCACTGATATGTCTACTCTCTAATGTCACCTCACATTACACGACATGATCTGCTCTGTGGGCAGAGCACCTGAGCCAGGGGAACCCCTGTTCTTCCTCTTCTCTAACTTTGCAGGAGCTGAGAGAAACTGAGGAAGGACTTCATGGGGGACAGGCCTGCAGACCCCCAGCTGGCTACAGGCCCTCCTCCCTAGTACCTGGGCAGGTGCTGCTCAGGCGGGGCACTGCACAGATCTCCTGAGGCTGGGGCTGCAGAGTGCCCCCAAAGATATACTCTAGCCTGAGACCTGGGCTCCCCTCTGGCAATTGGAACCTAAAGGTCTTGAGGAGGGTGGCAAACATCAGGAAGAGCTCCATTCGAGCCAGCTGATCCCCTGGGCACATGCGATGCCCTGGAAGGAGAGGGAAAGGTCAGAGGGTAGCAGCTGTCCCCTGTATCTGTCCCACCACACCCCCACCCCCCACCCAGAATCCAGCACTGTGCCCAGTACCTGCAGAGAATGGCAGGAAGGCCTTATTGGGCATGAAGTTTCCATCCTTGTCCAGGAAGTGGCGAGGGTTGAACTGTCGAGGGGTCTCCCAGCACTCGGGGTCATAGAGCACGGAGGCCAGGTTAGGCAAGATGATGGTGCCCTGCAGAGAGGAGCTGGTGTGGCTCAGGGAGCCTCAGATGGCCCAATACTCAGCCCTGACACGGGGCCAAAGGAAGCTCGGAGAACATCCAGTGTAGGAGTGGCCTGGGGGCACTGGCTCAGGGAGATTCAGTAGGCAGGCCCTCTTAGGGTGCCCTCCCTCTGGGCTCACATCGGTGATGGAGCTGAGTCTTACACCCTCCTGGCTGAGGGCAACCCACCTTTTTCCTGAAGACTCCCAACCCAGGTCTAGAGATACAGAGCTGTTGCTTCCTATGGAGGCCAGCAGCTGCTGGGCATGACTAGAAAGTGACCAGGTATGGCACAGGGCAACAAACACTGGAGTAGGGTATGTGTGTATATCAGAGACAGAGACAGAAACAGGAAGAGGAGAAATGGATGGCAAACAATGAGAAAGAAAGATGAGTGATGGAAAGGCAGAGAGGAGAACAGAAGATAGAAAGCTTCACTCTTTAGGGTTGGGAAGAGGAGAACATGAACCATAACCTCAGCCCTAACTCCAACCCTAACCCTCGCCTTCACTGTACCTCAAAGGAGAAGTGAGTGGTTAGAAAAAGAATCAGATGGATCAGATGGAAGCAGAAAGCAGCCAAAGCCTGTCAGGGTAACTTCTGCTTCTTATCGTGTGGGCTCTGGGCTGACCAGAAACAGCACAAGGAGGCCAAAGTGGAGCAAGGATAGGGTTGGTTATGGTCTCGGGACCTAGGACACTCAGCTACAGTGTTCTGAAGAAGGCCTTATACCTGTGGCTCATTTTCCAAATACATGGAATTAAACCAGCCACCCCTGTGGGAATCAGAAGGCTAACTATAGGAGTCATGGTTTTCACAAAGATAGCTTGAAATTTAAAACAAAGAAAAAAAAAAATAGCTTGGCAGAGTTTGAAGTCTGCATCCCAAGTAGAAGCAAGTAAAGAAGTTGAGCAGTTGTAAATATTTTCAGAAGGCACTTTTCTTTTTTGCTGTTGATGCAGTACTGTAGGCTTAAGGAGGGGACTTGACTCTAGCCATCCAGACCAATAGCGTGCCCAGACCTGGTTACCCTGTGACTTTAAGCAGAGGTGTTAGGGAGGCAAGTGTCCTTGCTGCTGCCTAAGTGAGCTATACATTTCCCAACTATAGTCCTGGGAATTCCCCCTGTTTTCTCTACCTGGGATTAAGTCACCCTCTGCATTGCAACAGTTCTTAATAATCATCTTCAGATGAAGAGGCTCCTGGCAAGGCACTCTTCCCTCCAGGGAAATTTATATCCTGTTCTGTGGGGTGATCTGGCCTCCTTGCAAAGTGACTGATTTAGCTCATGGAACAGGTTCAGAGCACAGTCTTTCCATTGTGCAAAAAGGCCAACCCTCCCGCCCCCTCAGATTACAGAACCATCTGCCTGCTGGGTGCCCCCCGGGGACTCTATGCCAGCTCCTCCCCAGTAAATGGCAGTTTGGAGTTTACAATCAAATAGGATGTTTAAAGAGAGACAGGCTTGAGGCACAACCATTGTACTAGGGTCCAATACTGTTGTCACTATCGCTCAGCTGATGAAATGTGTAGGAATATCTGTAACATTTAATGATCTACTGTCAGGCTTTGACTCCACTTTCAGCAAACATCTCTCGCCCAAGTTGTAAAAGCTGAATATTGATTTCAGGTCGTTAATGGTCCCTTGGAGTCTTTATCACAGAACAACTAGAATCAAATCAGCAGGAATGGGCTCTTAATGAGGAAAGTTCTAATCTCCAATGGCATGAGACAGTGTTAAACTCTGGTCCCCCACTTTTTAACTTGACCTAATTTGGCACAGCTTTTAGATAACCTGGGCCTGGGCCCTCCTGCCATCCCAGCAGTAAGATTAACTGTCCTGTCCTCACATTCCAGGAGACAGTGACAAACTATGAACGTGCTGGCCAATTACAGCCAAGGATGGCTCAGTATCAGCCAGTCAGGTGACCAATGGACCGTGCAAAACATCTCCATTTAACACATCAGTACATTTTACTTACCTAGAGAGGCATTTCTGGAGCAATACAAACAGCAGGGAGTATAGTGCGAAAACTTTGGAGTCAGAGCAAAAACTTTGGAGTCAGAGGGACATGAATTTGAAAGGTAAGTCACTTACTAGCTGTGTGTTTTGGGCAGTTACTTGAACTCTCTACACTGAAGTTTCCCTGTCTGTAAAAAAGGAATAACAATAACATCTAAAGGATCAGATTGCTATGAAGAAGAGATGTATGGAGGTGGGAATCTCAAGTCTGATCAAATTAATAATAAGTTCAATAATAGCATTCTGGCAGAGCCCTTGTAGTGGAGTCAGCCCTAAACCATGGTCAGTTGTAAGCACTGAACAAAGACTCTCATGATGGAGAAGACTGGGTGCCCATACCTTCTCTCCCCATCACTTCCCTAGTGTCCACATTGTACCATTGTATCTAGCACCAAAGATGGGCTGGAGCATCAGGGCAGAGCCAAAGTCCATTTCTGAGGAAAGTCTCGGGGCTCCAGCCCCCACCTCTACGTACAGAGGGATTGCCCTAAGATGAGTGACGTTACCTTTAAAATGCCCCCCCCCCCATGATCTTGGAGTTCTGGGATTCACATGCTACATAATCCCCTTCCCTTGAGGGTGGGCTGGATCTAGTAACTCACTTCTAATAGAAGACTGTGGTGTCTATTCTGGGTGCTCTCTCACTTGCTCTCTGATGGAGGTCAGCTGCCATGTTTTGAGCTGCCCTATGGGGAGGCCCATGTGTCGAGGAACTGAGGGTGGCCTCCAGGCAACAGTTCATGAGCAGCTGAGTCCTGAAGACAGCCATGTGAGTGAGCTTGAAGTGAAGCTTCCCCTAGTCTGTAGCTTCACCAACAACCTGATGGTAACATCGTGACAGACCTTGAGACAGAGGCATCCATCTAAGCTGCACTCAGTTTCCTGACCTCAGAAACTGTGAAATTATAAATGCTGTTGTTTTAAGCTGTTAAGTTTTGGATAATTTGTAACACAGTAAGATAAATAACTAATTCAACATCCTTTGTCTAGGATCTGCATGGCTCAGTCAACAATATAAAAGACCACTGTACCTCTTGTTGTTGTGAGAACTGAATGACATAGTGGACACACAGTAAGTTTGGCAAAGAGCAGGTATTGTTATGTTATTGTCCAGCTCATGTCAAAAACCTGCATAGAAACCTGTCTCAGGCTGGATTACCAGAGAGCTATAAACTTTAACTATTATTTTGGCTCCTGGCCCTCAAAAGAATATTATAAATGATAAGCCTCATAATAACTTCTTGGAGTGTGATAAGCCAATGCTTTCCTGACACAGGCATGCTTCCTTTGAGTATATAATAAGAGTCATAACTTACTGGGATTTCCTTTTTTTCTTTTTGGCCTTGACTCCAAGAAAGCTCAGACCGAAGTTTTATGTGCACATGAAGTAGCTGTTCTTGACTTAAATATTTTTATATAACTCTTTTCCTCTTTTTCCCCTTATTTGGTACTTGTTCTCTTAACCTTGTTATAAAATGAAAAACAAGAAAGGCAATTTTTGCTAGAAATCAGTTCTAAGGAAATTATAGAAAATACAGACCAAGCCTAAGGCATGTAAATTGCAAATGGCCTAAATGTTCACCAGCAAGTGTTGAAAATTAGAAAACATCTGCTTGGTGGAATATTATGCAGCCATTAAGAGTGATATAAGCAGTGGTTTTCAAAGTGTGGTCCCTGGACCCATAGCTTCAGCACCACCTGGGAACCTGTTAGAAAGGCAAATTCTTAGACCCCACCACAGACACACTGGATGTGGAGCTCAGCAATGTCTGTTTTAACAAGCCCTCTGGGTGATTCTGATTTACCTGGAAGCTTAAGAACCACTGCTGTAGAAGAAACTGAATAATATGTTAAATGAAATGATGTATTCACAATAATATATTCAGCATAATCACAAGTATATAAATCATATTTGGAAAAAATGTTGGAAAGAGGTGTATTAAAATGTCTGCAAGGATTGATCTCTGAACAATAGGGAACTTTAAAATTATCCATCAGGGAGTACATTCATTTATAATCATAACCCCTATTCCAAATACCATACGTAGATGACTAATTGATTGACAGATAGCCCAAAGTTTGGCAGAAGCTGCAGCAGATGGCTATGCTGGGCAGGAAAGGTGCTTTCTGCAGGCACTGGGTGGGGGTGGGGCCACATAGTGGCCACCTACCTTGGGCACGGGGTAGCCGCACACACAGGTGGAGGTCATGCACTGGCGCACAGCGCCCACAGCCACGACACTGCTGAGCCGCTGCACCTCGTGGAGGACGGCGTGGGTATAGGGCAGTCTCTCACGGTCTTTGTAGCAAATTGCTTGGGCAGCACCCAGCACTGCATCCAGCTCCTGCTGTACCTCCTCTGCGGGTAGCTCAGTGTGGGTTTGGGGAAAGGGCCTGTGGCCTGTCCTCGCCCACCCTCATCCCAACCAAGAGACTGCAGCAAGGCAGTGGAATGACTTGCCCAAGATCACACAGTAAGTAGCAGGGTGGGAGCTGAAGCCCCTCCTGTCTGACTCCAAGCCACAAACACTTCCTGTACCATAGCAGAAAGAGCAGGACCCACCTCTGGAGCCACAGAGAAAAGAGTGATGGGGTGGTACCTGCAGCCCAAAAGCCCCACTCAGGGGTAATGGGCGCAGGGGTGGTCAGCCAGGGTGTAACAGAGGGGCTCTCACCCTGGACAGCTCTGTACTGGACCATGTAGATGAGTGCCCAGTGCAGGGTGGTGGCCGTGGTATCGATGCCTCCCAGAAACAGGTCAATCACCACCTGGATCAGGTTCTCTTCGTTGAATGTGGAAACAGGGTCATCCATGGCCTGGCAGGTGGGTAAGGGGTTTTGGAGGAGCAACGCTGGGTCTAAAGTTTTCCCCGAACGGAGACTTGGTGTCTCCTTGAGGCCTGACCTGCCCCAAGGCTTGTGGGACCAGAACTCCATGGGGTCCAACCCCTTGGGAGGGCCTCAGTCCCAGGACTACATTGGCTTTTTTTTTTTTTTTTTTTCTTTTTCTTTTTAAAGATGACCAGTAAGGGGATCTTAACCCTTGACTTGGTGTTGTCAGCACCACGCTCACCCAGTGAGCTAACTGGCCATCCCTATATAGGGATCTGAACCCCTGGCATTGTGTTATCAGCACCACACTCTCCCAAGTGAGCCACGAGCCAGCCCAGGACTGCATTGACTTTTGATGGGGGGCTGCCCTGGGGTTCTGCCCCTGATATCAGCCAGGTCCTCTACTTCCCACCCTACCCATGTCTGTAGAAGCCAGTTCTTGCCTGGGAAAAGATAGGGAGGAAAACCCTGAAGAGCGGAGACCATGGCCTAGAAATGAGGTGCAGCCCAGGAAGACAGCCCCCTTCCTCCGAGCGTTTCTCTGCAGCCATTCCAGACCCACCTTGGTGATCTGGGCCAGGTAGCAGCTGATGAAGTTCTTGGGGGCCTCAGGTGCCCTGAGCTTGTTCCTGATGATCTCCTGGCAGATGAAGCCCCGCACAGCCTTTTGATACCTAAATATCTCCTGGTGCGGTCCCGGAAGGTGGCGAAGGGCCCAGGGAAACATGTCATACAGCTGTGGGGAGAGAGGTCCATCCAGGGCCTACTCAGGCGTGAGCCAGCCCCTGAGTCGGGGCACCTGAGAACTATACTAGGCTCTCTAAAGATGGCTAGCGCCTCTGACACAGGCAACCAGGGCTGCCTCTCATCTGGAGACCCTCAAATAATCTAGACAGAAATGAGAGCAGTGGTAGCAGGGACTGTGCTCAGGGTTTAGCCAGGATGTTGCAGGCTCAGAAAGCTGTGTTTCTGAGGATATAACCTGCCTCTCACTCCCTGCCCACATATCCGTGCTGAACTTCAGCAAAGGTTTGATGCTGTGAACTTGTCAGCTTGTCGAGCAGAAGCCACCTAAGGAACCCAGAATCAGGCTCTGAGGCCTCCCTCCTGCCCACCTCACGCCCTCCCTGCCAGGCCCTGGCTGAGGCCCCTGCCTGCCTTGGGCCCCCAACTGTCCAATGGCCCGCACACCTACCTCCCTAAATGCCAATTACCCGGCGCCACACCGTGCTGACAAAGGCCAGGCCAAAGTTGATGGCTTGAGTCAGTTCCTGGAAAATGGGATCCTCCGAGGGGAAGCAGCGACCAAACACGAGGGCCACAATGACTCTGGCTGTGGCTCTGACAATGGGCACCTGAGGGTCGAAGGGTCTACCTGAGAGTAGAGGGGCAGGGCCCAGGGTGAGAGAGCACAAAGAGCACTTCCCTGAGCACTCATCCAATCTTGTATCTAGTCGCTCACTTACGTAGTCATTCATTCTCATTTCTCATTCATGCATTCAACAAATGCTTACTGAGCACATTCTAGGAGCCAGGCTCTGTGACAGGTGCTGGGTTTATAGAGAGAGGTGTGGGAGACAGACAGCCATTTAAATGACAACAGATGTAGGTTCAGCTCTGTCACAGATGAGAACAATGGGTGGGGGGACTAGCTGTGCCTGGGATTCAGGGAGGACTTCTTAGGGCAGGTGACCTCAGCCAGGTCTGAAAGGAGGAGCAGTGGTTTCTCACAGGGAAGGGAGGGGTGTGGGCTAGGGAAAACAGCATGTGTAAATGGTCGGAGGTGTGAAAAGCCTTGGATGCTGGTGGAAACACTCAGCCTGCTGTAGAGGAGGGTTTCTTGTTTCCCAGCGACTAGGCATTCCTGAGCCTCTGTCCACCCACCTTGGAGAAACTCCTCCCACTCTATTGATATAGCTCAAAACCACTGATAATTTTCTCAGGCTTCATAGACGCACACACACACACGCATACACACACGCATGCAACACATGCATGCAACCATGTGCTGCAAGGCTCAGCCTCCTCTGCAGGGATGTTCATGGGGGTGGGTTTGGGGGTTAAGGTAGGCCTACCCCAGCCTGCCTGCCCCTTAGCCCAGCCCTTACCTTGCTCCTGGTGGAAGGCTTCAGCCAGCTCTGCTGCCTCTTTCTGCAACTGCACCTCCAGCGCCAGCTTGCCTAGGCCCAGCCCACGAAGTGTCACCAGGCAGAAGTGTCTCTGTTGCCGCCATGTGTGCCCATTGCTGCAGATGACCCCTGGACCCAGGACAGGGGGGTGGACAGTCACCAGCTCTCCCAGCTTCCCAGGTCAAGACCACCTGGCTCTCACCCAGGCCTAGAGGGCAGACCCCCAAACCACCTTCCCAACCAGCTCTGGGCCGGTGCTCTGACCAGTGGGTGAGGGGCATTTGAAGGGGTGGTTAGTGAGCCTGGTGCTTTCAAAGTGGGCTCAGCTATGCCATTCCCTGGTCTACCAGCCTGATTTTACCTTTGAGTCATCACAAGAAGTGGAGGAGGAAATAAAGAAGGGAAGGGAGAAAGGAGCCTGTGGGAGGAGCATTGTTGAGCCAGGCACTGCACTGGGCATGCTCATGTACTGGGGCTGCTTGATCTCTCCCACCTCCTGGGGACGTGACAGCACCCCCTAACGGATGAGCACACTGAGGGGCAGAGGATGAGGCTGACTTGCCCAAAGCCACAGGGCTGGCAAGCGGCTGAGTCGAGACTCGAATCCAGCTCCTTTTGGCCCCCAGAGCTGGTTCCTTTCCATGCCACTCCTCCACTCACACAGACGTGTTTTAGGAGACACCTGTCCTCTGGGTTGTTCCCCCTCTGTTAACAGTTTTGGGCCAGTCCTGACTCTCTGAGTGTGGTGACCCGTTCAGCCACCTCCCCTCCCCAACAAGAGGGGCAGCCTTGCCTCTTTCTCCAAACAGGTCCCGGAAGAGCGGGGTGAGGGGCCGGCCGGAGAACTGCTCTGAGTTGGAGACCAGCGCTTCCTTCACTGCCTGGAAGCTGCTCAGTACCACGACCGGCGTCGGGCCAACCCACACGGTGAACACACGGCCGTGAGCCTGGGCCAGCTGCAGAGAGACCAGGTAACCCTCACCTCAGGGGCACCTCCTCAGAGCACACCCGCCCCTTCCCCAGACATGCCAATCCCCACGTCCCTGTGTGTGTAGTCAGGGCCCTGTCCTGGGAAGTGGGTATGTTCCACCTGTTTTACAGATGATATTAAATAATACCACAGTTTCTTAAGGGCTTAGTGTTCTGTGTGAGCTTTGTGTATGTTACTCGAGTCCACCCTCAGTATAAGCATGAGAGTTAGGTATCTTTATCTCCATTTTATGTCTTAGAAAACAGAGGCCAAAAAAGATAGCAAAAGACCAGCACCTCAAACCCAGGTCTCCCAGCTCCCAGTGTAGTGACCTTTCCACTGCATGAGGAGCTAGGAATCATAATTATCTGGTATCTTCAACCAGATATTTAAAAAAAATACTTATTCAGCTCTGGGCGATATTTCACACCCCACTCAATATATCTGAAGCCCTCCAGCTGATGGATCTATATCAGAGAGTGGCTTCGTGCAGCAATCACTGAGTAATGTTACTTGAGTTTTCCCCCGAGGGCCCCATTCTCCCCAACTCCCATCTCAAGTGGCTTTTCAGAAAATTCCTTCCAGCCACAAACAGTGCTCTCCTGGAGTAGAATTCTGTTAAATACAGTTTTCTCCCATCGAGTTACATTTGCAATGGACTTCTGCCCTCAAAATCCTTTTAGGTAGACTCTGCACAAAGTTTTTGCATTCAATTTTTGCAATCTCCTTACAACCCTGTATTTGAAAGGCGAGGAAACTGAGGCTCAAAGTGTCAGAGCTACTGAGTGGCAGGACCAGGATTCACCCCTGTACGTGTCTGACCCCAGTTCTATTTCCAGTGACCCTGGGCTGAGAGAGAGGAAGGTTCACCTGTCCAACCCTTTCAGAGCCTCCCAATCGGGGACAGATTCCCTACCTGGAGCAGTGTCTCTGGGTGCAGCTGAAAGCTTAGTTGCCACAGGTTTCCAAGGATGGGGATGGGGAAGGGGCCAGGAGGAAGGTGGCTCCTTTCCCAGCAGAAGGTGCCGAGTTTCAGGAGCAGGAAGGAGGCAGCCAGCAAAGCCAGCCCGCTGAGCAGGGAGACCATCTCCTCTCCCCACCTTTGCTTGCCAGTCCTAAGGCTTCCAGCACACTCTGGCCACCCTCTTCTCCCCCTGCCTGACCTCACTTTTATACTGGTGCTATCAGGCAGTGTCATGGAGGGGGGCAAACCCCAGTAATCTTTTTCCAGTGGAGTAAATCCATTTGGTCACACCAGTCACACCCGGGCCATGATGCTCAGCAGGGCTGCAGGGCTCTGGCCTGGGACAGGTTGGGACATCTTCACTCCTGCATAAGCATCAGCTGCACCTCTGGCCCATGGAGCTCAACCCTGGTGTGGCTTCCCTCAGCCTCTGCCTGGGCAGTCTCAGCTGACTGCACGAGTCAGCTCAGGGGCAGCCACCGGGAGTGGCAACATCTTCCCTGGGGTGTGTTGTTTCATCTCGACACAACTGAAGCTGGGCTCTTGCTCCTGCTCTCCTCCCCCCGGTGCACAGCAGACTGTCCCGAGGCCTCTCCCGCCCCCCAGCCCCAACCTCTGGTCTGTTTGGACTCTTCACCTGCCCTGGATCCCCATGTTTGTTAGTGGTCACGTTCTGTAGCCTTTTCTTGTGTTTCAATTGTCTTGGAGCCAGACAGCTTTGTCTAAATCCCAGTTCTACCCCTAACTAGTTGTGTGACCTTGGGCAAGTTAGTTAGCCTCCCCTTGCCTCAGTTTCCTCAGTTGTACAACAGAGGTAGGAGATAATAATTTTAGCCAACTGCCTCATAGAGCTATTGTACAAGTGCCCAGCAGGAGACAGATGCCACATTCCAGTTGGGTAAATTGAGGATAGTTAAATGAAGAGACTGTTTGTAAAGGTGTGTGGGCAGCAGTTAGGGAATCCACAGGCATGATACTAGTCACCATGGGGAGCCTTTTCCACTTGAGGCTTACAGAATCAAGGGACATTGTTTAATGGATGGAGTTTCATTAAAGTTCTGCAGATAAATGGTGGTGATGATTGCACAACAATGTGAATACATTTACTTCCACTGAACTGTACACTTAAAATGGTGAATTTTTTTTTTTAAGATGACTGGTAAGGGGATCTTAACCCTTGACTTGGTGTTGTCAGCACCACGCTCTCCCAAGTGAGCTAACCAGCCATCCCTGTATAGGGATCCAAACCCATGGTCTTGGTGTTACCAGCACCACACTCTCCCAAGTGAGCCATGGGCCGGCCCTAAAATGGTGAATTTTATGTTATGTATATTTTACTACAATTAAAAAAAAAATCAAGGGACAGAGATGTTGGAGGAAGCTGGTGCCTCTACCTGGGGGAGGAGGGTCATTGACAAACTCATGCAGTTCCTGCTGCCTGGAGCGCCTTCCCCCTGCGTCTCCTCCTCTAGAAGTTCTGTCTTCAAAGGTTACCTCAAGCGGATATGATGGTAACAATGCTCACCTTACAGGGCTGCTGGGAGATGAGCTGACACAATGTTACCTGACAGTACTATGGGTAATGTACCTACCTGTACACAGTGTTACTGTTGCAATTTCCACAACACTGCTGCCTGCTGTGCTTGTAAGTTGCCTTCCTTGCT